TTGGAAAAAAAGGTGACCAAAAGGGTAAAAATTTTTTTTTTTTTTTTTTGGAACGGCTAGAAGTTTTTTCACCTCCTCTTATTCTACCATGGGACTATGAGAGAACTTCATGCAGGTCAATAAATTGACAAATCAGAGATATTTTCAAAATTTACCAATGGCATTAATTTCCTAAACAATGAAATTTACAGCCGAGTACTAAATTGGAATGCAAGAACTAGTTGAACAATTTAAACACCTGTTTGGAAGACAGCGGTTCATGATCCACATACATGGCAGCTAACTTCCGCCGCCCACTGTTATCAGCATGAGCTGCAATTGTAGCATAGGATATACCTTTGCACAACTTCAGCTGCAAAACTTTGGCTTCAGAAATACTGATGCCAATTTATACAAACATAAAAATCTTTTCTGCATAATTGACAACAGAAAGAACAGCAAACCTTATCCAATAAAATGTTCAGCAGAGAAGCATCATCAATGGCTGTAGAAGCTGATATCTTTGTGCATGTCCAGTGCATTATAATAACTTCCTAAACAAAGACAAAAATACTAAGAAATTTGAAAACTACTTTTCAAAGAAATTAACATATTTATATCTAAAATAAACATTTATGAAAAGCAAGTTATTTAATAAGATGAGATAAAATTATCAAAAACTCATTGAAAAACATGTTAGTCATGAAGTATCACAAAGCAAGGAATTACTCATGCGGACAAAAGAAGATGGGATGTGAAGCTCAAGATTCACAACCGTCAGAACAATGAAAGCTAATTGTGTTGCATCATTGATCTTTTACTTATAAGTGCTTACTTAAAGATTAGCATATACATTTTATTTTGGATTTATATCATTAAACCAGTGTCAGTGGCTGTAGGTATCTAGATAAAATACTCAACTTGGAGTTCATCGGAGGAAAAAGGCTAGGCCCGCAGTAAGAATATTTACAATACATTCCATTACAACTTATAATATTACAATGAAACTTAAATGTACCATACATTATCTTAATTGTATTATAAATGTTTAAGTAAGCTTGAGATTTTTACCCAGATCATAGGGTACCTTAGGTAGTGATCAGCCAGTATTAGACATAGTGCGTAAGCACAATTTCTTTTCTTTATATAACATCTATTAAAAATCATTGGTTGAATAAAAACTCTCCATCAATAAATGTAAAATGATTGTCTACTAAATGTGAAAATGGAAGAGGGCAAGTAGAAACATACCAACTCAATTTGATTATTTCCTGTATTCTTCATTATTTATGCTTAATCTTTTCATCTTGTTTCCATCTTCTTTGTGCAATTATATCTATTTTTCATCAATATAGTAGCAACTAGAGCTTTTCGTGAAGCAGTGGAGTCATGCAATCATATATACCGTCAGAACTAGAGACACAAGTCAAATAATAACATCAGTGAATCATAGAGAATGAATGTTCTTATCCTCTTTAACTTTTATATTTCAATCTATTCAAACTCTTCTTTCTTGGTTTCTTTAGTGTTCATCTAAAGTGGCTTACACTAGAAATACATTCAGTTTACTTCTGTGCAGATTTGAATGAATTTAATCTTTATCTGCATATCATAAATTTCAGCCTTAGTTTTAATTGCTTGTTAGATTTTTGCATGCGAGTTATATTCTAGAAATTTACTTTGTGATAGATTTTAATAAATAACTTGACATTTGAGTTATAGATTGCATTCATGATCACTTGACATTGGAATATGTATCAAGGCAGTCTATCTGATAATGAGCAGGATGACATCAAGCTTGGTTTGTATCAGTAAGTAAAGTTGATACAAGATCAACAACACCATATAAACTGTGAGCTTATTCATCCTGAGGCAATGATATTTTTAATTTTACACAACAAGAAGATCCAAAAAATTTTAATCATGTAGAAACATTCAAGCAGGTGCAAGCAAAAATATTATATTTTTAGTGGACCAGAAGAAAACTTTAGTCGTGCAGCAAAATCATCAACTTGGATACTAGTAGGGGATCATAAACATGTACCACTTCCAATAACTCGTAAGTTCACATAGAAATAAAGTAGCCTATCAGAATTCTTAAAGAGCTAGTCAGTAGCATCTTTTATCCTCAATCATCTATGATGTACCTCTTACAAGTTGGTTTTCCCATCAACAGTTCAACATTAACAATAATAAAACATTTTCATAGACTTAACTTTCGTCATTCAAATAGTGTTGAGAAAAATAAAGCTTAGACACAAATCAAAAAATAGAAGGGACTTAATGGCCAAACATAATCATGTTAAAATTTGGCTATATTTTTACCAGAAGTTATATGCTAAATAAACCAAATATGATTGTGCTTATGGGTCCAAATTGGATAAAGATGTTTTTCTTCATTTGACAAAGGAAAACAAGAGTCCAGAAACTTAGGCATGCATTAACATCGAATCTAATGAATGGGAGAGGTTGTGCTCATGCAATGCTATGAATATTTTCAAATTAATTTTTTGCAGAACCAAATAGCACATAAATCTAAGCGATACAATTATGTCCTTTTCGTTGGTACACACATTATTTCAAGCAGAAAAACAGCTAACAAATCATGTGTCAAAAACATTTTTTTTGCCAAGATAGTGCGCCTTCCACAGTCCTATCTGGATACAAGGTTCATAAGTTGCTTTTGAAAACTCTTTAAATATGATGGGCATTAAACTTCATTATTGAACTTTTAATCATCTTCACATTGATGGAAAAACTAATTAGTTTAGGAGATATGCTACCCTTTTTTGTTAGAAATATATGGTCACAATGGGACATGTTATTTTATATGATCAGATATGCATACAATAACTCGATTGACAAGTATATTAACAATTTCATTTTAAGACACAGCTTCAACTGAATTTTAATAAGTTCATAATTAACACACTTTTTGCATAATTTGCAGGTCAATATTCATTAGCAACTTGTTGTAGCTAACAGTAACAACAACAAAAAGCATTTATCCCAATAAGTGGGGATGGCTACACGAATCCTTCTTCTCCATTATGTCCTATTGACGGTCCGATTTTCATTTAATTCTAATAAAGGCACAATTTAGAAGATTTTCAAACTAGGCACAAGAATTTTTTGATAGGCATATGATGATTGATTACCTAACCACGATGACTTCCTCAAAAAAACTCCTGAAAAATTAGTTTTAAGACATGACAGATATGAATCCTGTGGTAAGGGCCAACGCATATAAGTTGGATCACCAACGGATTATAGCACTAGTTCATCATAAAATTGGCTCAATTAATTGTATCATTAGCCTCCAATAAACCCCCTTACATTCCTTGTATCTTAGTCTGCAAGATTCACATCTGTGGTAGAATAAACACTCACATAAACATGACTCTAACTTCATCATAGTTGTTGCAATTCCAGCATAAGTAACTTTGGATTACCAGATCAACACTAAATGTGATGGTTTTATATAAATGTAAATTGTCAAGCGGTTCAACTAATCTCAGTCAAAACGTTACTTGGAAATCCGACCAATCTTGTATTAGATTATCGCAATTTTATCATGTCATGAGCCCAGCAAAACAGATCTTAAGTCGATCATAAGGTACAATGAGGCCTAGATAATAGGATGTTGTATCAAACGGACAATGTAATATAAAGATAATCACATTTTGTCTTTCTTATATTCTAGTGAAACCTCACTTTGATGAATGATAATTCCTCTTTCATGGATGTGAAATCCTTTCTTTGTAAAGCCAACAGAAGATCAAAGAAAATTGGGCCAACCGATTCATATCTTTCCTTTTTCCTTCATCCATTGTATCACTTTGATCCACTTCATGTTATTCTTATATTCTATTCGAAATTTGATAGTACACCATGATGAACATTAGCATAGGTACATCTAGAAAAGCATTAGGTTCAAGAAAAGCACCGTAAGTAACAACATAGCCTTTTTATTGCTTCGTTTACACTTCTAGGGCTGGAGTTTCCATTACCTACAAAATTTTGTTTCTTGGTTCCTTCAAAGTTCATCTAAAGTGGTATATTAATTTAGTTACTTTTAAATTGCTTGTGTGTAAACTAGCATACATTAAGGCAGTACTTGCATGCATAATATAGAAAATCTAATATTGCAAACCTGAATTTAATCATTTGATGCATGTTATTTGAATTTTACAATTTATTTTACACATACATCTTAACATCATCCTTCTTCAAGGATGAATCCCATTTTACAGAAAGATTTGTGATCAACAAGTTCTGACATACCAAAATATGTGCTTAATGTATAAAAAATGATCTTAATTTATTAGAACTAAATGAAAATATGACACTAAATAGAACGCAATAGAGAAAAAGGATTCATGTGGCCGGCCCCACGTAGAGGGATTAAGGCTTTGTTGTTGATGTTGTTGTTGTATAAATATGTGCTAATACACAACCTTAAAAAGAAGACAAAAAAGAAATTGATAAAAAATCAGACATTATTCTTAAGATTTGCTAAGAAAGAAAATTACTGGATTCAAATTAAGATACTCAGAGACCCTCAAAGCGAGAAGGTGGTTGTAGGAATTAATCAAACGCCAAATCAAAACTGGCGCTGTAAGAAGCTGAAAAACAAACACCAACAGACCATGTTTGAAAAATTAAAATATGGTTAGAATCATATTCATTGCAGCAAACTTGCACTTAGAAAACTGTGAAAGACCTTATATTGTTGGATGCTCAGTGGAATGCCAATTTCATGGTTCCGAACAGCATTAAGAACACGTAGAGTTTTGCACATTTCTTGAAATCAATCACGTGGAAACTGGCTGCGAGAAAAAACTGCAAATCATTTCCTATATGATTATCAACAATTAGAAAATCATGAGGATTCTCATGAGCTATTATTATCAATAAAGATGCATGATACGGGCTATCTTATTTGGACCGCCCAAAAAAATAAGTTAGGAATACCTACAAACATTCACCTCAAGTAAATTACAATAATATCGAGCCTACAGCAATCCAAAAAGATAATCACTAATACTCTGTATCCACATATATCATAGCTGAAAATATTAGATAAACAGCTTTGAAGTAAACAAAAAGGCATGTCCCATACTGTCAGCAACAGTAACCTATGATCATAGCAGATAAACAACTTATGGTAGTAGTGAAGGGACAAATAAACATATGTTTCTCAAATTGGGTAAATAGTTACCACCGTTACCCAAATAGATAGGATAGAATCCTTATGGCTTACTAGACAGTGATAAACTTAAATGAGATAGTTGAGCAAACTTTGGCTATTTCAGTATGCAGTAAGGCCAGTCACAAAATTGTGAACAACAAATTTAAGCTGCATGCAACTGCTTAAAACAAAAATAAATAAAATGAGTTATTGAAATAAAAATTATGCCTCAAATGCAAACTCATAGCAGATAAACAACTTATGGCAGTAGTGAAGGGACAAATAAACATATGTTTCTCAAATTGGGTAAATAGTTACCACCGTTACCGAAATAGATAGGATAGAATCCTTATGGCTTACTAGACAGTGATAAACTTAAATGAGATAGTTGAGCAAACTTTGGCTATTTCAGTATGCAATAAGGCCAGTCACAAAATTGTGAACAACAAATTTAAGCTGCATGCAACTGCTTAAAACAAAAATAAATAAAATGAGTTATTGAAATAAAAATTATGCATCAAATGCAAACTAAAATGGAATGTCAAATATATATATATATATTTCCAACAAATATAAGATTTAATAAAATGGAAGACGACATCACAAAGTTGTGATTTGTCAACCTTATCTCCTCTCCCCACAAAGTGAATTCATTCTCTGATGAAACATAGAGTGGGCCAGAACGGACTGGAAAGCTATCTCAAAAATTCAAATCAGCAGATCAAAGAGAACCCTTGGTAAATGAATTTCCACCTTAAATATTGCATTTTACATGACCATGCAATAGAAACATCTAAATGTGTGATTTAAGTATCCAACTTGCTGGTTTCAGGATAATTTATTTATACAGTAGACCACCCACAGCTTTCCAACCTCATTCCCTCCCCACATTTCATCTCTTAATCAGGTAAACAAGATATGCTTGTAGATTAAGTATTTGGATAAAATTGCATATACAACCTATGAAAAAGGAATAATACTTCAAGAGAATTTGAGTAAGTTGAAAGAATTAAGAAGAGTTGCGTTCCAAAAAAAAGGCTCACAGCAATTGTGCGTTGTAAAAATGCACTGCTAGCACCTAAGAAAATATTATAGTTATGAGGGCTTTGATAGTTTAATCCTAGAATAAGTAATGGCAAATTATATGCCTTCAACATAATTTGTGACAATAGAATTCTAGCATCCAGGCCAGTCAAATTTTTAAAGATCGATGTAATTAGTAAAAATGAAATAATCTCCACTAAAGTTGAAAACTGCAAAGAAAAGGGGAGTGTAAATTTTTTTGTTAAACAGTGAAGGAGTTTTACTCAAATCTTGAATAGTCCTTAAAGCCAAAAAAAGTTTTGAAATTCTCTACTTCTTTACTCAACTGTGTTGTCATCCTTTTTTTTCCAGAAGAGGTTCAGTTAAAATGATATACAGATTTAAAAGGTAAGAAGGCCAATTTATTGAAAATAAAACAGCAAATCAATTGAGAAGAGAAAAAAATATAAAATAGATATTGAACTATAACCTAAACAAACGCATAAAAAAAGGAACCCATAAGATATTTGAAAGGTAAATGAAAATAACGTTTAGAATGATGAAATCCAAAGCATGAATAAATAGGTTAAACAGCAAAAATAACCTGCAAAATGCACGGCCATAACTAGCAGCCCTTAGTAATGTACGTTGTCTAGACACATCAAACTCATGTCCAGCAGCATCTATACAAGCCTCAACAGCCTCAGGCAACGAAGCACGGATCATTCGCAAATTTTCATCAGCCTGCCAGGTATCAAAAAATAAATGATTCGAGCTATGGAACATCAAACTGGCAGTTAATCTGCCATATAAGTAGAATGGAAGAAATAAATATTTGGAGAAACTCTCTACCCTATCCAATACTAGTCATAAAATTGGATTGTTTAAATATCCATAAATTTCAATTTTTTTTTTAATCTGACAATGATATGTTTAACTAGAAGTGTGCATCACCTTGAAATTTCTTTAGTTGGAAATATACATTAAATGATTTTGCTGAACCTTTAAAGTGAAACATCTGGATAAATATTTCTTGAATGTTCAAAGCATCCAAAAGTTTTGAGAACTCGCCATTGTTCACTAACATTTCATAAGAAATGCAGTCTAAATAATGCGAATTAAAATAAGTCTCACAAGATTAGCATAATTTCTAACACAACTCAAAATTTTTAAGTCTACTATCAAAGCTCACAAAGCATGTCAGACCTTTGCACAAATCAAGTTATGCATAACATAAATTACTTTTAAAAATTTTAGGTAATAGTTTTACAAAAGTACGTGCAATTAAAATAGGGCTTAAATTAGCTAGAATATGTGATACCAGAGTTGACCCAAACCACAATGGAAACACAAATATTATTTCTGAATTCCAAACATATTACAAATATGATAAGGGACAAAAAGAAATAGACGACAAACAAACATGATAACATAAACAATAAAAGTCGTATGTGGGGGACGAAGAGGACGAAGGCTGCCAGACGGCGATTGGTGTCTGAGAAAAGAGGGTTGCGGCTATAGGGAGGTGGGGGGAGGGATGGGCAGCCGCCGCAACAGCAAGATAGCTTGGGACGACTGTCAAAAAAATAGCCCAACAAAGTGAAGGCGTTGTGTGCTGCGATAGCGAAGGTGGAGAGCTGGGACAGTGAGGGCACCAAGGACGAGGCAGAGTAAGGCGATGAGGGCGGCTATAATTGAAGAAAACAATAGGTCCTTATTGTTCTAGGTGGTGGCAGCAAGGGTGGCGAAGGTAACGGCGTCGAACCTCAGCCGGTGAGGTGCAGGAACGTCATTGAAGGCTGAATTGGTGGCTGCAGTGAAGGCCAAAGAGGTGGGGCTGTAGGATAGCAGTTGGGACGATGGATAGTGAGATAAATATCTCCGCTGGGTCGAGCTACAACCAGAGCACCACTCGGACCCATGGGGACGATCACCATCTCGAACAAGGGACAGTCGGAACACTACCTTGACGTCGGATACAACCCTCAAGAGGAAAAATACTCAGACAAAACTGAATTCGGATTTCATAAAACAAGCCCTTACCTAAGACACAAGAACTCCTATTTATAAAAGACTGTTCCAGGTTCTAGGTGGTTGCAGATTGTTCCTCAAATCATCCAATTTCTTTCTAACCTTAAAAAAGTAGACATTGAATTACAAGCCTTTTGTTTTGAGTTGTAGATATGTGGGGCTAGAATTTGGGGGTTTCGGTTCTTATATTAGCTTCTGAGGAAGATTTACATGCATACCACTCAATTCATACATATTTGCATTTCCAACACCTGGATGTCACATTTTCGCACATTTTTGTGCATTTACACATTTAGCATTTAGCGAAGATTTACCCTCACATTAAAATTTCCGGCACAACATATTTAACTTTTTGTTTAACCAACTATACTCCACATGATATGACCTTAGAGTTTATCTTGGATCCGGTCAGCCATGAGGAGAAGCTACATTTTGCAGCTACACAATTGCCCATAACATTAAGGACATTTAGAATCGTGGTTTTCAAATGCCAAATTTCAATTCAAAATTTTGATATTCAACTTTATACTATAGATTAAATTATTCTTATTAGAAAGAAAAATTAAATTATATATATTTAAACATGAAAAAAAGTATTTAATTTGAGCTCAAATCACGACATAAAATTTAATAGAACATGAACAAAAATTCTGAAAACCATTTACAAGACTTTTAAACGTTCCATTTAATACTTTGGAATTTTTTAATGAAAACTCTTGAACTTTACTAAAGTCTTGAGCTTCAACTGAAAACTCCCAACTATCCGAAGCTAAAACTATTAATAAAATCCAAGCCTAGGAGCTGATAAAATAATCATTGAAGAGACAAATCTGAATTAGGCTATCAAATTCAAACCAACTCAAACGTTCTACTAACATTCAAGCAGCAGACGTTCATATTCCTCCTAAACAAAGCCTTAACATATAAACTTAACGTTTAAAGCAAACAAAGACATTAACATTTGATCAACAAAACACAAGAACATTTTGCCCTATCTAGCTGCAGATCCAATATAACACTACAAAACCTATTATAACTTCACTATGACCATTAATCGGAGCCCACCATCTTGTTTACGGCATCCTCAATTGCAGGGACAGCTTTTGCGAAGGCTTCCCACTGCTCCACGGTGAGGCTTATACCTGAGAATACATCCATGAATCCACACATTAACAAGTCTGCGATCAATAAAACGAAGAAGAAACTCCCTAACACATGATACTAAACGAATTATAAAGTAAACATCCATGAATCCACACATTAACAAGTCTGCGATCAATAAAACGAAGAAGAAACTCCCTAACACATGATACTAAACGAATTATAAAGTAAACATCCATGAATCCACACATTAACAAGTCTGCGATCAATAAAACGAAGAAGAAACTCCCTAACACATGATACTAAACGAATTATAAAGTAAACATCCATGAATCCACACATTAACAAGTCTGCGATCAATAAAACGAAGAAGAAACTCCCTAACACATGATACTAAACGAATTATAAAGTAAACATCCATGAATCCACACATTAACAAGTCTGCGATCAATAAAACGAAGAAGAAACTCCCTAACACATGATACTAAACGAATTATAAAGTAAACATCCATGAATCCACACATTAACAAGTCTGCGATCAATAAAACGAAGAAGAAACTCCCTAACACATGATACTAAACGAATTATAAAGTAAACATCCATGAATCCACACATTAACAAGTCTGCGATCAATAAAACGAAGAAGAAACTCCCTAACACATGATACTAAACGAATTATAAAGTAAACATCCATGAATCCACACATTAACAAGTCTGCGATCAATAAAACGAAGAAGAAACTCCCTAACACATGATACTAAACGAATTATAAAGTAAACATCCATGAATCCACACATTAACAAGTCTGCGATCAATAAAACGAAGAAGAAACTCCCTAACACATGATACTAAACGAATTATAAAGTAAACATCCATGAATCCACACATTAACAAGTCTGCGATCAATAAAACGAAGAAGAAACTCCCTAACACATGATACTAAACGAATTATAAAGTAAACATCCATGAATCCACACATTAACAAGTCTGCGATCAATAAAACGAAGAAGAAACTCCCTAACACATGATACTAAACGAATTATAAAGTAAACATCCATGAATCCACACATTAACAAGTCTGCGATCAATAAAACGAAGAAGAAACTCCCTAACACATGATACTAAACGAATTATAAAGTAAACATCCATGAATCCACACATTAACAAGTCTGCGATCAATAAAACGAAGAAGAAACTCCCTAACACATGATACTAAACGAATTATAAAGTAAACATCCATGAATCCACACATTAACAAGTCTGCGATCAATAAAACGAAGAAGAAACTCCCTAACACATGATACTAAACGAATTATAAAGTAAACATCCATGAATCCACACATTAACAAGTCTGCGATCAATAAAACGAAGAAGAAACTCCCTAACACATGATACTAAACGAATTATAAAGTAAACATCCATGAATCCACACATTAACAAGTCTGCGATCAATAAAACGAAGAAGAAACTCCCTAACACATGATACTAAACGAATTATAAAGTAAACATCCATGAATCCACACATTAACAAGTCTGCGATCAATAAAACGAAGAAGAAACTCCCTAACACATGATACTAAACGAATTATAAAGTAAACATCCATGAATCCACACATTAACAAGTCTGCGATCAATAAAACGAAGAAGAAACTCCCTAACACATGATACTAAACGAATTATAAAGTAAACATCCATGAATCCACACATTAACAAGTCTGCGATCAATAAAACGAAGAAGAAACTCCCTAACACATGATACTAAACGAATTATAAAGTAAACATCCATGAATCCACACATTAACAAGTCTGCGATCAATAAAACGAAGAAGAAACTCCCTAACACATGATACTAAACGAATTATAAAGTAAACATCCATGAATCCACACATTAACAAGTCTGCGATCAATAAAACGAAGAAGAAACATATTGAAATGAAGGTGGTGGAGGGAGAGTGAGGAGGGTAAAGGGATGCCTCACCTTTATATTTAAGAGAGATAAAAAAAAGAAGGTTCATATGGCCACTCTTTGAAAATATTAGGAATAACGAATAACTATCATTTAACCAGAGCAAAAGACATGATAATAACAAACAAATATAGTAAAAAAAGTGCAACATTTTCTTATTTATGAAATAAACTAAGGTATTCATGCTATAAGATGGGGCTTTACATGTGATTAGCAAAATTTAATTATTTAAGAAATTTTGTCTTGATAATGAAAAAGGGAAACTAAATTTTCTAACCAGACCAGGAGATGGATCTTCTTGGCAAGATGGGCTTTATTTTGGTATTGAAGGGTGAGGAACAACATATCAAGTGCTTAGATTGGTGTTTTATGGCTCTTAAATAACTGGTAAGAGAGTTGTAATTTTTTAATGTTGTTGGTCACTACGAAAAATTATCCCAATAAAAATGGTTTGGCTTATATATCTTGATGGTGATGATAAGTTAAATCCTTAGAGAAGTGAGTTATGGGTAGATGTAGAAGATGTAGATAGAGAGGCAGAGTTGTCGGACAAATTCAAAAGGGTTACCTAAAATTTCATGGATGTGAGTGACTTAGCTTTAGACCAACACTCAGGGTTAACCCTAAAGTCCAAATCCTATGGGAACTCTCCTTGAGCTCCCCTATACGTGCTAGAGGTTATGACTAATATGTAGAACTTCAAGTTGAGTAAACAGAAGTTTAGAATTGCTATGGTGAGGGTTCCTTTTCTAGTTTTCTAAGAGTATTCAATAGGAAAGTCCTATAGCTAGACCCTAGCTACTAAAGAGGAAAACTAGACCTCAAACAAAAGTGAGGTCAACAGTTTCACAACATATTTTAACAATTCAATTGACCAGATCAAAAAGTAAATTAAGTTCAGAGTTGAGAAATCATCACAATTTATTTTAGATTTTAATAATGACACATCCATGTTATCTCTTCATTTCATCATATCTCAGAGTAGGGAGAAAGATAGAGGGAACTACTCAGACTTCATGAGAAAGATACAACAAAACATCAATTTCATATATAAAAGAAAGTTCATACAATACTAATAAACAAACAAAAATTATCTGAAACTCTTTCTCAAAGCAAATCCCTTGTAGCATTTTCCTAGAAATGCAGGAAGAAGATATCTCTCACTTTTCTCCTTCTCCCAAACTCTTATAGAAAGTTTCACACTAAATCTCACCACATAAACTCTAAACTATGAAAGAAAAGTCACTAATTGCCTCCAATATGGTGGTGAAATGAAAATGGATTATGAAGAATGACGAAAATGAAGCGTGGTGGAACGTTGTGGAGCAAAAAGGAGCGAAAAAGAGTCAAAAGGAGTCAATTTTCTAATGAATTTCGACTGCAAATAGAGTCTAAGGTTGGTTCTCCAAGAGGTGCCTCCAAAAACACTTCAAAAAACGACCAAATAGATCGAA